TTAAATAGACTCTACAACAAAATTAAACAACCCATTATGTATCTAAATCAGCGCATCAACATCTCACCTAAGGCTGTTTTCTTAGGTATTACATTTGATCATTCCTTATCTTGGAAGCCACATATTACCTCCTTATTAAATATCTGTTATAAACGTCTTAACATTCGTAAAACCATTACGGGTATTAAGTGGGGTTCTCACCCTCTCACAATTCTCTCTGTATATAGAGGACTCATACGCTCCATTCTCGATTATGGAGGACTATCGTTATATGATCTTCCTCCGGGCCGTACAATTCAGCTAGATAGAGTTCAATATGCCGCTCTCAGATGCGTATTTGGTTTCATGAGAAAGACTCCCACCAATGTTCTTCTCGATCAAAACGCTGAATGGCCATTGGTTATTCGTCGCCTATTTTTAGCTACTAAGATCACTCTCTTTGGTTTCATAGAACTGACCCCTAACTTTTCATATGAAATAAAGAACTCAGTCTTTCTTGAGTCGGATTGCACCAACGTCAACCCAGATGATTCTCTGGATGCTCCCTCCATTTCTACTATACTTCGTTCACGTAAATCCTCCCTGCTATCCCCTTACTGTCAAGAAATCCTTAACTTAGAACCTCCTAGATATCAAGGACACTTGAATTTTCCCGTAGCTAATAGATTTATGGATATCTCTACGGATATCATAGCGTTCTCTGAGTTGAGTAAATTTCGGAACAAAGTAGAGAATTTTTATTATTGTAAACATAAAAAAATCTCAGTTAGCGGTATGAATCGTAGGGCTGCTGCTATACTTGGTCATAAAAACTTGAACTGTATTATTTATACTGATGGCTCAGTAATGCCTGATGGCAAAGCTGGTTTCGGGATTTTCTCCCCTACACATAATATTAAAGCATCTGTTCCCTGCTCTCACTCTCGGGTTATTATGCATGTGGAAGCGGAGGCCATAATATATGCAATTGACCTTGCAATTGAACTGCGTTCGAACAAAGTTGGCATATTGTCCGATTCCAGGAGTATCATATCCAATGTTTCCCACCTCAATATTTCAAAAAGGACCAGCTATCTTTGTCATAAAATCAGAGACAAGTTAATATCTGCTTCTCTATTGGACATTCATATAACATTAATTTGGATACCCGGACACTGTGGTTTCATAGGCAATGAGACTGCTGATCAACTTGCGAAATCAGCAGCTTTCTCCTCTCATGATACATGTCACACTAACATTTACTGTGGGGATCTTATTGCTAATATTAAACGTGATTTCCAAAAACTGGCTTATCTTGAGGAGCAATTTAAATATAAAGGGCGGAGATATCGGAAAAACATCCCAAACTTATCGAATTCCTCGTGGTATAAACAATATAAATTTTCTAAGAGAGGTGCAATTTCTTTAATTGCTAGAATTAAATCGTATCTACCAGCACACACTTGATAGATAAAAATATTATTAATGCTGAAACATGTGAATGCGGGGTCAGTCCAAGGAATTGGCAACATATTTTATTTAATTGTAACAAACACACTTAAGCGTCTAATAATTTAATAACCAACCTCATTAAGATGGACTTTTCTCCGTGGGACGATATTTTCCCTAGAGCTTTTACTAAAGACCTTAACATATTTACAATCATAGCAAAGTTTCTGAAACAAACGAATCAAATAATTTAAATGGATATACAACATACGATGGCAGCACTTGTCTGAGTAATGGCGTTGGGGCATGAGTCGTGGATGCGCCTCTAGCCAAATATTGAAGGAAGGAAGGAGTAGAGTTTTGGAACGCAGCCCTGAACGTGCCCAATGCCTCGCGCGAGTCATGGACTCGTGCTGTCCTCTCGGTCGGTATATCGGCGAACAAAGCTGTTGAAAACTTGTCAGCCGAACATGGCAGCGATGGTGTCGGGATCGAACTTGCGTGACGGTTGTCCGAGGTTTTAGTGCTCATGACAAGACAATATGAACGATAAGCCGGTACTATTTCGGAGGAGGATTCCGGGCCCGACACAGGGAAGAACGAAGACGTTGGCGTTGCCGCAAACAAACTTCTTGCAAGTGAGTCGCTTTTACGGCCGCTCCGTTCATCTTTCTCTCTCTGTAAATTTTCGCACGCAACGGAACGTAGATTCGCATTCGGCGCCTTCGACGCCGCGGCATAGTCGACGAAGCGAGACCGGTCCGTGGCGAGAAATGGCTACGTGCCTCGCTCGCGCTGCGCAACGATAATTATGTTCACGTCCGCTCGGAATGCTTCGAAGGGATCGCCAGTGAAAACACTCGTTGAACGAAGGCATATCTATGACAGCCGCTGTATCTAGAGGGGGTGACGATTGATTGTTCGTGGTTCGTCGTCGCGCTCGCGAGACATCGTGCGGTTTATCCGTCTCGCATCTCTCTGCGAATGTCCCCGTCAGCCCTTCGTCCGGCTCACGTCGCGGCGGAACGGTCCGCGACAGTGCTCGGCTAGAGAGGACTCAGGGGGGATGATACGCGATCACTAGCTACTATTTCGATGCGCGTGTATTCCGTCGCGTGTGCACTCCCACGCCGCGAACAACGGTTTTTCTCTCTCTTTCTATCTCTCTCTCTCTCTCTCTTTCTCTCTCGTGTGGGATCGCCGTCGCGACTAAAATTGCGATAGATGCGTGCGTGCGTGTGGACGCACGATTTCGAATTCGACGGCTATTTCGTCCGGAATACAGTCTCCGGAGCATGGAGTTGGCCCGATCTCATTCGCGTTTCTCTCTAGGCCGCTCTCAGACCGTAGGCGAGTTCGCCCGAGTGATTAGATAGTTGAACTTGAGCCAATCTCCGTAATTATATGTCTATTTTTATTAAGATCGACCGATGATTTTTACTCAGGGCAAGTTTCGTTTAGAACCGCGAGTGCTTCAGAGCGACGAGTAGACCGATAAAATTGGTTGATTTGACGCTTCAAAGTGACGTTTACAGTGTCAAACAAATTTGCCTTCAGTTTCATACATTTGAAGTTGGTTAGTTCGTCAGTCACTGTGTGACGCGGTACAGTATTTGATCATTCTATATCATGTATCTCTCGGTGAAAACAGGCCATGACAATTGAATGAAAAACAAGGATAATGGACGGCACACGTGCGGCAGAGGTATTGCCATTGCTGCAAGAACGTCTGGCAATACTACCAGGTGGACGAGATCGTAGAGGAGGCCCTGTGCTACTGTTTCCCAGCACACCGAGACGCGAACGCGCGAAACCTGAGGATTACAGACGTCTCTTGCAGTATCTGTTTGCTATTCCGAGCGATGAAGCCAGAGGCCTACGCTTTACTGTCATTGTGGATATGCGTGGTACCACGTGGGACTCTGTCAAACCTATCTTGAAGGTTACACCTCTTTTTCATTATGCAGTCTACAAATGTAGTTTGGTCTGCTGCCTATATTGCATTGATCATAGAAATATATATATATATATATATATGTACATATATATATATATATATATATATATATATATATATATATATACACACATATATGTTGACTATGATATTAATACAGAGATGTGTTATCTTTAGGTGTTGCATGAGCACTTTCATCGTACAGTTCATGTTGCCTTTCTAATCAAACCAGAAAACTTTTGGCAAAAACAGAGGACCTCATTGGCTAAGCAGAAGAAATATAATTTTGAGGCAAGTACATTGGAATTATTGTTATCATTATTATGTTCAATGACCAATTATGTTTCTATTGTATCTTGGAATAGAATGTTTTCAAGTTATTAAGGTAGTTAGTATAATGAAATAAGTTTCATGGGGATTCATTGAAACTTATATATATGCATTATATGTACATTAAAATATTATCTAATTGTGTAATTAGAAAAAGATTTATTCTATTTGAGAGTTAAGATATTTGTAATTAAAGTTGATGTCTTTTATACTTGTTCCTTTAGCATGCTATTTTTAATTTTTATTTTTAATATCTTCTAAACAATATCTTAGGTTTTGATAGAAAACTTTGATGATATTAAAAACTGATATATAAACTTTATACACAAATTTCAAAACTATTTCAACCATTTTCAAAATATAAATATTAGAGAGTAACATTATAGTAATATAGTAATATTTAAAAAAATATATATATATTTAAATATTTATATACTTTTTTCTATTATCTGTGCAACTTTATTAGATCAACTGATATATAAATAAAGCACTAATAAGAAAAATAAGAAATAATACTTTTGTATTTGCAATATTGATTTTGTTTATTAAAATTAACAACATTTATTATTTAAGTAGTAAAATAAATGTATAGAGACATAATTTTATTGGATAAATAATAAATGAGTGTTCCATTGATATTCAAACTGAAAACTGAGATGACACTTAGCAATATAACTACCTTAAGTTGGCAAATATTTCAATGTTAATTGACTGATAAAATATATTAATTTCAGATCAACACAATCAGTTTAGAAGCTCTTGTAAAAGTTATAGACCCTTCTCAGCTCACTGCAGACTTGGATGGATCTTTACAGTATGATCATGCTCAATGGATTGACACAAGATTAGTTGTAGAAGATTTTACATGGCAAGCAGCAGATCTTCTCGATCGATTAGACGATCTGCAGGAGGACCTTAGTCGGAATGACTTCGCTGACGATGTCGCGGGAGCTAAACATGGCATTGATCTGCATAATGAAATGAAGAAGAAAATCATGAAGGTTCCAGTGGAGGATATCCAAGTTGTTGGTCAACGTCTGCTTCAGCGATTCAATAGTAGTTAGTAAAATATTTTTATTTCTTTTCATACGTGAATGATATATTATTATTTTTATGTATATGATTATGTATATGATTTATTTCTTTTCGATGTGAATGATATGATAAATCTAAAAATTTTTATTGCATTTTTATTGCATATGTACAGTAACATGTATATATATTTTTTATAGTGAAACTAAAATCTATAATCAAAATATGTTGAATTGAAGGTTTACAAGAGCAAAATACCAATTAGCGTTTAACTCAGTATATTTTTAATATAAATATATTTTTCTCGACAGATGCAACAACGACCAGCGGAGAGGGAGGAAGTATTGACAACGGTGCGGCGAGTTGTACGGATCCCGACGGACGAGCGCTAGCCACGCTCGTTATTCAGCACTTGGACTCAGTGCATGCCGCGCAACAGCATCTTTTACAATTGTGGCATATCAAAAAGATGAAGTTGGACCAGTGTTTTCAACTACGGCTGTTCGAGCAGGATTGCGAGAAGATGTTCGACTGGATCTGTCACAATCGGGAGGTGTTTCTCGCAAGTTACGTGGAGATTGGTCGTTCGTACCAACTGGCCAAGAATCTGCAGGAAGAGCATAAACATTTCACGATGAGCTCGATGAATGTTTACGTGAATATAAATAAAATTCTCACGATGGCCGGCCGATTACTAGAGACGCAACATTACGCAGCCGGACACGTAAGGGCGGTGGCAGGCCGTCTGGATCGAGCTTGGAAGGAATTCGCCGCGGGTCTCGATGAGCGCACCGCGGTACTTAGTTTAAGTGTAGTGTTTCATCATAAAGCGGAACAGTACGTCGACAATGTGACCGGTTGGAGTCAGGCATGCGACACCAGCAATCTGCCCAGTGAAATTCCAGTGCTTGAGTCTCACATCCGACAGCATCAAACCCTTTACGAAGCGATGTGTCAGGCATACACGGAGGTAAATTTTCATTCTAATCCTTTTTTCTTTGTGTGTACGTGCATAGAGAATGTACATTTGTCGTGTTATCAGACACAACTACTTCAATCAGACTGTCATTACTTGTAAATCATTGTAAATTGAGCCGATTCTTGTTTCATTGTATTTTTCATGTGCAATGTATTTGTAAGTTCATTTGATATTTAACAGGTTTACAATGCATATCAAGCATTATTGAGTGGCCTAGGTTCAATGCTGCAAGTATGTCATAATGTGAGCGCCCATGCCTCAGGGTCGGATACATTTCGCGTCGATTATGTACGAAAAAAAATTGAGTTTTTAAAGCTTCTCTAGGCGATGGATATCCATTACTCGCTTGGTACTTGGGTGCTACTGGAAATGATATCTATCCGCAAATTTTCTGCAATGATTAACATACAATATAATTTGCTCGTTATAGTCCAGGCGTCTCAAAAGGCACAGAATTGTCTCTCATTTTTTTATGCATAATTTTAGATATATTGTAAAGCAGTAAAAAATATTAGATGTAAATTGTTTTTATGTTTACAATTTTTTTCAACGTTATTTTTTCAACTTTATTTTGATATTTAAGAGTTGAAACAACCTTCCGAAAATGAGAGAAAATATCATTTCTAAGAAATATGGGAATTGTGAAAAAAACAGTTTATATAAAAATTTGATAAATTTTAACAAAAACGGATCACCTTCCGAGGACGATGATCTTCACATATGTTGTCAAGGTCATCATTCTGAGTAATATTCAAAAGGTTTTAGCTATCGCTCATTGTTTGTTAAAAAGTTATTAACAAAAGAAGTTATAGTAAAACTTTCCTGTTTAGGGGAGACTGCTTCAATGACCTTGACATATGTTATAGAAGTCATTCTCCTGAGTAATTCTGAAGGTTTTAGCCGTCTCTCTTTGTTCGTTAAAAAGTTATTAACAAAAGAAGTTGCATAAAATGAATGTAATTTTTGGACACCATATATACAAAAACATCGAATTTGTAGGCTAGGAATATGTGTGCCCCTAGCACACGTACACACACATACACAAATAGAATGTAATTTCTCTCACATATTAATTTATGTAGTGTTGCAAAATTATATGGATGATTGTTAAATCATTCAAATATAATAAGAACACACGCATACACCGCGAGCCCGCGTATGTGTGTGTGTCTGTGCGTGCGTAACTGAACGTAACACATGGCAGCAGCCAACTGACTGACACTACGGGTTAGTTATTTATCTAACTTTTTAAAATTTCCATAATGCATTAGAATCGTGTGTTACATTGAGAAATTCATACAAATGCATGTTGAAAATTTGGAAGCCGTGTGTTCAGTTGCATACGCACGCGTGCATACACACACACACACACTGTTCGTCCGCCTGCCCGGACGGGTTCGCGGTGTGTGTGTATCTTCTTTTGTTAATAAATTTTTAACGAACAACGGGCGACGGCTAAAATCTTTTGAATGTTACTCAGGATGATGATCTTGACAACATATGTGAAGGTCATCGTCCTCGGAAGATGGTCCGTTTTTGTCAATATTTACCTTTAATTTACCTTATTTCTCCTATTATGTTTCTAAATTTTTAAATAATTTACAAGAATTTTAAAAATTTTTCTACGAGATATTTATGAGAGCCGAAATTTAATGTTGAATTTAACTATATATAACGATGTTGATTTTTAAAATCGAATATTTGACAAGGTTTAAACTTTTTGAATTTATTATTTTTTGTGTATAAATGTGTGTTTTTGAATTTATTATATTTGTGTATGAAGGAGAGAGTAGTCTTTGACTAAAATTAACAAATAGATAAGTATTTGCGAAATTCATATAAGGATATGTAAAAGGGCCAAAATTTATCCGTAAGAAAAATGAAATCGGATTATCTTTATATTTTTGGGACCTGCTGAATTCGAATATAAAGCTTAAAATTATCCAAATCCCGGGGAATTTTATGAAAATATAGTTTTTCTATAGAGAAATCTTATTTTTCACCAAATATCTTTTAATGAGCGATTGACAATTGTGAACAAAAGAAGTCTTTTATTGATTTTATTAATTTTTTAATTTGAAATAATTCTTAATTACCTGATTTTTTATTCTCGCAGCTCCGTGAGTCGCAATGCAGGGGAGATATCGTACAATCGAAAACAGTGTTTATATACAGAGCTACTGACTAACTAATATTATGCTCATATCGTTATTCATATAACATTATTATAACATTATCATAACATATATAACACACACACACACATATATATATATATATATATATATATATATATATATATATATATATATATATAACATAAACCACTTTTTCATTGCAAAAAAGTAACTTTTGAATTTTTTCAGGCAAATTTCAGACAAACTTTTAAATTTTTACATACAAAAGAATAGTAGGTATCATATAGGTTCGATTGGTAAGAACTGCGAATATAAGTCAAAATATCAAAAAAATCAATAAAAATTCTTCTTTTGTTGACAATTGTCAATAGTTCATTAAAAAATATTTTTATAAAAAACAAAGCTTTTCTGTAGAAAAACTGCATTTTCATAAAATTTCCCGGAATTTGGACAATTTTAAACTTTATATTCGAGTTTAGCAGACCCAAAAGATAGCTCGATTTCATTTCCCTTATGAGCAAATTTATTTTCACTCTTTTACAGCACTGTTCTTTGTTATACCCAGATGGAAAATTATAGCTCTTTTCGCAATATATAAAGTTTTGAAAGACTAACTAAAGTCATATACATGTAAAACAAGAAGATCATTTAATATTATTTCTTGGCCGAAAGATTCATTGCAAACATGAGTACTATTATTAAATTTTTTCTATATATATTTTCTTTAAGAGGAAAATACATTAAAAGATATAATAAGCACATTCGTCACACATGTATTTACTTGACCGATAATGGTGAAATTTATGGAATATACCCAGATAATCTATCTTTTGTGACATATTTAATTTTTTTCTCTTTATCTCTTTCGGAATAAATAAGATAGTATAACCTAAAACATGCTTTTAATTCCTAAACATCTTTTTTCTTTCTTCCCAAAAATGAAGTATATAATATGTAAAAGATGCAGTACTTCGGCAGTAAGAGCGAGTACAGTTGAGAAACAGTTCGAAAATATTCTCTGCAGTGTTTAGCTTGTGTTTAACAGCGTTTCTCGTGAGTTTTTTTTTGTTAGAGATAATTGTAATGTTTTATATATTTATAGAGTTACAGTTGGTTTTTCACAACGTTACTTTATGTATTGCGAAAAGAAAAGAGCCGTAATACTGTGTCTAGATGTAGTTATATGAGGTTCATATATACTTGTTCACCAATTGTATTATTTGCAATTACTAATTGTGGTTAGAAGCTCATATTCTCACAATAAATTAAGACATTTTAATATGTTTTTTATAGAATTCTCGAGTGCCCACACGTTATTTAGAATTTATTATCGTTCATTACCCTTACAATATTAAATATCATGTGGAATAAATCACAGTTGTAAGAATTGAATCAAACATAGCACATACATACTCATAGTATAGTGCTTATTCGAAAATCAACATTATTACTTTACAATATTATATCAACATTATATATACTTGAATTCAACATAAAATATTCTTTAATTTTATAAAAATTTCATAATATATAAAACATTAGAGAGAAGTGGGCATAAATAAAAAAATTTTACATTGTCGGACAATCTAAATATTTAGTTGTAAAAAATATGAAATACCATAAAATTTTTCTACAAGCTATTGTTACAACTCATAGCTGCTATATATATATATATATATATATATATATATATATATAAATAATATATATAAATATATATATAAATAAGATCCTAAAAAGGACCTGATCAATAAAACATTATGAAATAATATATTAGGATAATACATTAAGGTCCTAATATATATCTAATCATATAACCTTGCAAAGGTCTTCCTTACTTAATTTTTATTAGTACATGACTAGGTTTACCATAGTAAGAATAACCTTGCGAACCCTTAATTTAATTAGGATCTTATATATTTCAGTCATATATACCTGATGACAATTTCTAGTCGGGAACGCGTAACCTAGATAGCTCAGTGGTAAGAACGCTTGCCTGACAAGCAGAAGACTCGAGTTCGATTCCAGTCGTTGCTCCGAAGATTTTTTCCTCATATGACTATTAAAAATAGACATATATAGATATGAAAGAGTAGCTCGGCCATGATCTGATTTTTTTTTCTATACTATATAATTGTGATGTTAACAATTGTACAAATAATAAAAATTACTAGTAATCGATAC